ACTTTTCTAATGAATCAATGCTGCCAACAAATTAAAATACCATCTGAATGGAAAACCGCTCACCAAGTGTCCATCTTTAAAAAGGGTAATCGAAAAGATCCTAACTGTTACAGAGGATTGAGTGTCCTACCTACTTTCGGCAGATTGTTTGGAAAGATAATAAATAGAAAAATACAAGATGATGTAGGACATCTAATTAGCGAAGACCAAAGCGGATTTACGCCTGGTAGATCTTGCACTGATAACTTGTTTATACTCCAACAATTAATAGAAAAAAGAATAGCGGTTGGTAATGAAGTACATCTAGCCTTCATCGATCTAGAAAAAGCGTATGATACAGTACCAAGGCCTAAATTGTGGCAAGCTTTACAACAACTCGGCATTAGTCCACACCTTTTAGAAATAATCACAGAAGTATACAGGGATAACACCACTTACCTAAAAATCGGAAATAGACTATCAGAGCCGATAAAAGTAACTAAAGGACTGAGACAAGGATGCAGTATGTCACCTTTACTGTTTAATTTATATATTGAGGCAGCCCTTCAAAATTGGAAAAACCACTGCCAGGAAATGGGAATCCCAATAGGAAATGACGTACTGTTCTCCCTGAACTTTGCGGATGATCAAGTCGTTCTAACTCAAGATTCTTATGATCTAGAATTTATGATAAAGCGTCTATACAGAGAATATGTAAAATGGGGGTTAAAAGTCAGCATGAAGAAAATGGAATATCTAGTTATCAATTCAGATGCAAGGTTTGAAGTGTTGATAGACGAGGACGTGGAAATCACACAAGTGGAAAATTTTAAATATTTAGGTGCATTCATTGATAAGAACGGCTTGGGTGAAACCGAAATTAAACACCAAATTAATCAGGGACGTAAAATTATAGGATGTTTGAACTCCTTATGGTGGGATCGCAACATTTCCAAAAGGAACAAAAAAAGAATAGGGCAAACGATGGTTGAATCAGTTCTTTGTTATGGCTCTGAAGTATGGACAATTAATGCAGACGTGAAAAGAAGATTGTTGGCAGTTGAAATGGATTATTTGAGAAGAAGTGCTAGAACATCAAGGCTGGAAGGAAAACCAACGAATCTATAAGAAATCAGATGAATGCTACAGATACGGTCATAGACAGAATAGAAAGAAGAGGTTTAAAATGGTTTGGACACCTGTTAAGAATGCCTGACGAACGCTGGCCCCAAAAACTTCACAGATGGAAGCCCCCTGGTAGAAGAAAAAGAGGTAGACCTCGACGCTCATGGAATGAAGGTATTAGAAGAGCAATGGAATCGAAAGGTTTGGAGGAGGAGCATGCCTTGGACCGAGAGGATTGGCGGAGGAGGACGGGAATACGGCGACAGCCGTCTCCAAGATGTATTCTATTTACAAATTGGATCCTGTAATATATATTATATATATATATATATATATATATATAATATATATAATTAAAGGTATATAAAAACAAGAAATACTACCTGAGAAATGGATAGAAGCAATACTATGCCCTATTCACAAAAAAGGAAATATAGCTGAGTGCCAAATTATCGAGGCATGCCGCTGCTCCACTATATAGAATAGATTACATAGAATTAGCATATAGAATACTGACTATCTTCTTCTTTAGGTACCGTCTCCTCTAAAAGGAGGTTGGTAATCATCACAGCTATTTTCACTTTTGAGATTGCAGCTCTGAACAAGTCGACGGAACTGCAATTATACCACTTTCTCAGATTGTTGAGCCAGGAGATGCGTCTTCTTCCAATGCGTCTTTGTTTTCCCTGTATTTTTCCCTGCATTATGGTTTGTAGCAACAAATATTTATCCCCTCTCATAACGTGGCCGAGATATTGTAATTTTCTAAACTTAATCGTATTCATGATTTCCATTACCCATTTCTTAAAATTGACTATGCATATTAAAAATAGATTAACAACGAAGGTTGATAAAATCCTAGGAGAATGTTAGTGTGAGTTCAAAAAAAGGCAGGGGAGTACTGTGGATCAAATTTTCACACAACGAGAAATACAGGCTAAAAGTTACCAATAAAATAAAGATACGATGGTTCTTTTCATTGACTTTAAACACGCTGTCGATCGATCTAAAAGAAGGGAACTATTCACAGCACTGTAAGATATAGATGGCTGTCCAAAGCTTATTATAATAATAAAATTAACTTTCTAAACCACAGTGAATAAGGTCAAAATAAACAATAGTATAACAGAAAACTTTTAAGTCAAAGAAGGAATGCGGCAGAGTGATCCATTATCATCTATGTTTGGCATAATATTAGAAAAGGTTATACAGGAAGCAAATATTAATGGACTAGGTCTGATCTACCACAAAAAAAACGGACGTTTAGCATTTACGGACGATTTGGTAATCTTAAGTAGCAGCAAAATCGAGCTGATGAAAACAGTCATAAAACTCGAAGAATTAACAGCAACCAAAGGATTCTATATATATGAAGCAAAAACGAAGTATATAGAATGGACAATTGAGCATTTCATTAAAGGACTGTACATAACAATCACAACTACAAAGGGAACAGGGAACACAATATTAATTAGAAAAAGTTAAAATATTTGAGAATTTAGGAGTACAAACTAAGGACATAAAGGACCATAATAAGGCCGATAGTGACGTATGCTTCTGAAACATGGGTCATAATAAAAACACCCAGAGTTGTTATTAGTTTGGGAGCAGAAAAAATTGCTAAAAATCTTTGGTGGGAAAAACTTAAATGGACAACGGATAAAAAAAACAAATATAACCCGATATGAATGCAAAAAAAAACTTAAGTGGCAGCGGACGCGCAAAATTTGCTAGACGTGAGAACCTGGAGAAGATCGACGCGGGATGTCGAGTTAATACTTAAGTAATATGTTTATTTTAAAAATCCCCTTTTGTAATCAGCGTATCGTCTCTCCGGCTAAGGGCTTGTGAAAGCAATTAATTTTAATGACTTTCGTCTGAGAATGTAGGGTATTGAATTTCATATAGTATAAGAATATATTCAATTTGTTTAGAGTTAGTTTTTAGTCGAATTTATACCACCGAACCGAAGGAAACTGAATAAAACTTTTAAAGTCACATTTGTGTATTTTAATACGAAAGTAATTTTTGTAATAGAAATTTAATTTTGTATTCTTTCGAACCAGGAGTCTCTTGCGATAATTAATCGTAGGACATTCCAAACGTAACATTTGGCGACCGTGACAGGACTACTTAGTTTGCTTCGCGAAAAATATTGGACTTTAGGGGGTAGACGGATTGTGCGGTCCATTTTAAAAGAATGTGGTGTGTGCAAGAGACAAGAAGGGAAATCGTTCAAAGTACAAACGCCTCCGTTGCCGGCTGATAGAGTTCGGGATACTACAGCTTTTGAAATTTCCGGAGTGGACTTAGCGGGACCTCTTTACTTGAAATCGGGAGAGAAAGCATGGATTTGTTTGTTCACTTGTGCCGTTTATCGTGCGGTTCATCTGGAACTCGTTACCTCGTTGTCAACAAATGCTTTTATTCAAGCCTTTCGTCGCTTTGTTGCAAGGCGAGGATGACCGAGAATAGTTTATAGTGACAATGGAACAAATTTTACGGGATTCGAGAATGCGCTTAAGCAATTGGACTGGAATTACTATCGCGGAATATAGTTCTCTCAATTATGAAGACTTATAGACATTATTGTGTGATTGTGAGAGTATAGTCAACTCGCGTCCGTTGACGTATCTTTCGGACGATTCTACTGAGTTAATCGCGTTAACCCCAAGTATGTTTTTAAAGGAACAAGTCAGTTACGAGTTGCCGGAATGTGATTTGCTAGAGCAGAATTCTCTCACACGCAAAATACGACGTTTACAAGAGTTGAGAAATCATTTGCGAAAAAGATTTCGTGCTGAATATCTGGCTCAACTCAAAGCAGGAACGAAGAAGCCGAAGGTATCTAAAGTGTCTATCGGGGATGTCGTTTTAGTCGGCAATGACAACATCAAGCGTCTTCAGTGGCCTTTAGGTAAAGTTATTGAACTTATACCTGGTAGGGATGGCCAGGTAAGATTAGTTCGTCTTGCGACTGCACAAGGGCAACTTCTGAGACCATTACAAAGGCTTTACCCGGTGGAGATCGTCGATGCAGTTACTATTGGCGAGAATGTCCAAGGTAATACTCTACCTTGTGGAAGTCAGACGGTTCCAGAGAGGTTACCCCAAGAGAACGTTGGTCAACTCCAGTTTGAGGAAGAACCAAGTGAAAAAAGTGCGGGAGTGATAAAAAGCAGAGTACCCGACTTAAATGGAAGATATACGCGTTGTGGCCGGATGGTGAAAACTCCTTTAAGATTTAAGTAATATTTTCATGATTTTATTTTTTGTAACTCTCTTATTTTTTGAGAAATTATGTTAAATTTCTCAAGGTGGGAGTATGTCGAGTTAATACTTAAGTAATATGTTTATTTTAAAAATCCCCTTTTGTAATCAGCGTATCGTCTCTCCGGCTAAGGGCTTGTGAAAGCAATAATTTTAATGACTTTCGTCTGAGAATGTAGGGTATTGAATTTCATATAGTATAAGAATATATTCAATTTGTTTAGAGTTAGTTTTTTAGTCGAATTTATACCACCGAACCGAAGGAAACTGAATAAAACTTTTAAAGTCACATTTGTGTATTTTAATACGAAAGTAATTTTTGTAATAGAAATTTAATTTTGTATTCTTTCGAACCAGGAGTCTCTTGCGATAATTAATCGTAGGACATTCCAAACGTAACACGGGACCCGCAAGGTTGGAGGCATAGTTTGAAGGAGGCCAAGGCCCATTTGAACTATACCGCAATTGAAGAGGGTGTGTGTGTGTGTGTTTTGTCCAATTAGAATAACTTTTTTTGTACCTTGAATAAATGAAGCTAAAGCTCAATATAGATTATTATATGAAAGGCAATGAGCTAAATATAATGACGCTTTTCTGATAATGACAATGAAATGGACAACTGACATAGAATATTATATGATAGAAATGTATATTCCAATTTTATTTTGCAATTTAGTTCAAGATAAAAAATAACAGAATAAAAAGGGAAGGTTAAGTTGACGTTAAGATTTTGTTAATTAAAAGGAAAACTAAATTTTATATTAGGTGAAGTTTGTATTTTTTAAACCTCATTATAATTTACTGTAATAAAATTAATAGCCGGTGTAATTTATCATGGTAGACTACAGTAAATGGAAAAACATTGAGGTATTTATGGAACTGTATAGAATATTCTAGTCGTCTGTATTATGTACTAGTTAATATAAATATAAATATAAATGTTAAAATTGAGAATAGCATGACTTATAATATCTAGTGAAAGGAATCAGAATCATTTCCTTAATTTTCTTTTTTGTTACAGATTTCTGATGATGAGGATGACACTCACCCAAACATTGATACACCCTCCCTATTTCGATGGAGACATCAAGCAAGAATTGAACGAATGGAAGAAAGGAAACATGAATTCGAAAATTTAGATAAGAGAAAGACTGAACACTCTAAAAAAACTAATGAACTCAAAGAAAAGCTGAAAGAGGCTGAAAAAACAAATGCTGAAAATTTAGCAGAGCTAAAAAAAGCCTTTCAAGAATTAGAGCTCCAAGGTGAAAATCTGAAAAAAGAAGAAGAAGAAATGAGAAAAAAAGATAAGGTAAACTTTTGAAAAATGCAATATTTAAATATATTTTTATGGTAATAAGCCACAACTGATTGTAAATATTGTTTTTGACATTTCGATTTCCACTCCAGAAACTGTTACAATATTTAGTTTCTCAACTGTAGTTAATGTTTTTGGTACCCTAGACATGAATCATATTGCTTTTCTTCTTCCTATTGCTGCATTGAACCATTGTTGGTCATCACTGACAATTAACTTTTTGCATATTAGCCAACCAATTTTATCCACTATGCCAGTCACACTTAATTATATTAATGGTTAATCATCTGTTATATTCCACTTTAATCTTACACAACTTTTTTTAGTAATGCATCATGTGTCTTTTCAATTTGAACGACTCCAAGCGGAATTTAATTTGTTTTTTCATTAGCTCAATTAAATCACAAATCCCCAACTCTTTATTTTTTATTGTTTCTCTTTATAACTAATAAATTTACTTACGAAACGAAACTTACGAAAAATTTAACTGTCTGTTTAACTTTGATATTATCAGCAACTATGTGATAAAATCATATATCATCTTATTTAAAGCTTCCACAAACTGTCTCCAGTGAATTTCTTGCTGGTGTTTTGTTTTCAATCTAGGATTTGCCATTTTCCTCTCTTTGTCCAGCACAGTCATTCTGTGCCTCATATTTTATACTTCTTTTTATATAGGTTTCATTGGCATATATTTTTTTAGATCTGTGTTAATATTTGCTATAATAACACTAAAAATGAATTTATTCCATACATAAGGACCACATGGTATAGTTAATTGCATTGATTATCTCATCATAGAAAAGGTCAACATTTTTGTCAGGATATTAGGATGACTCATACAATCAGTCATAAGAAACTAAAGTTATTTGAGATCTGGATAGGCTGAAGTGACGTGAGGCTACATGGCCTTAACGACCTCACATAATCTAGTCTATTTCAGTATTTTTCATTCCTTACATTTATGTTTTAGCTTACACCTTGGAATGTAGATACAATAAGCAAACCTGGCTTTGCAAAGACAGTAATTAACACTAAACCTCCTCGTCCAAAAGAAGAAAATCTGACAGAAGCTGAGAAAGAAGCTAGATTGAACAAATTTATTAAGGAACATGAAAAAAATCTTAAACACTATGGTATGTTAAGGAAATACGATGATTCGAGAGCTTATCTCAAAAGCCATAATGAATTAGTTTGTGAAGACACAGCAAATTACCTAGTTGTGTGGTGTATCAACTTAGAAATGGAAAAGGTATGATAAATTTCATATTATTATCTCATTTATAATTCAATAACCACTTTTCTAAAAACATTCCCTATTTGTAGCGATACAGGAGAATTTTTCTAGTGAATACATAAATGTAGCTGAAAATGTTAACTGTATAGTAACCCGCACATATTCTTTTACCGAAATCGGCTTAAGATGCCAAGGTTTCGCGACGATATGCTAATGATCTTCGCACTTGTATGTCCCAAGGGATTGATCTCGATACACCCGAGAGCATGGATTTGAAATTGCTTCATTATCTATGGTAGATCTTCAGATTTTGATCTTGTTCTATATCTACCTCTTCTCTGACATCCTCTTTTTGCACTTAACGGTACTATTTCCGGTAGTCTCTCCTATGGCATATTCTTAATGTGCCCCAGCCATCTTAGGCTCTTCTTAATGTGGCTCTTGAAACCATATCCCACACGTTCTGAATTGGATTCAAGTCCGGCGACGTTGCCGACTAGTTCATTCCTGGCATTGGCTTCAGTCAACATATTTTCAATTCTTCTAGATTTGGGGCGAGCCTTGTCATCAGCGCCTGTGAACAAAAATAAATGTTAGCATTATTCGGTTGATTAGGATGAAGCAATGTCTTAATTCAACGTCCAAGGTGAGGAATGATACGTAAAGATGACGGTATCAATCTGTCATCATTCGTCCACAAGGAACGGAAAGAATGATGGGCTCTGACCACTATTCAGACCCAGGGTAGAGGTTCTTGCCATACCAATACTCCTGACCGAATCTAATTCTTGTCGCGAAGTACAGCATTTTAGATGTGTTCAAGTGTTCTATTTCCAGTGCGCATTGATGATAGTGGTCAGTTGTTGGTTTGAGTGCGAAAAGAAAATCGGGTGTCTCTGTACTAGTATTAGACTACAAGTCCATGGGAGATTTGTAATAGAGAGTACCTAATACAGAACTTCAAAAAACAGAATACTTTGGAAAATACCTATTTTTTCATTAGGCTAAACAATCTGCAATTTTAACATACGATCTCGTCATTACACATCATTCTCTATTTATAGAATTGCTGTAAACGTTATATTTGTTTTTTTATCGTCTAGCTAATTGGTCTTTACCAAAGCCATCCAATTAAATAAAAAAATATATTTGTTTTTTGTTTAACTTAATTTGAAAGTTTCCTTGTCTTTATTTGTTTATATAAATATAAAAATATATTATGAAGTTCATTTAAATTAAATGAAGTAAGCTAAACTATTATCATGTGAATGCGTGTATATTGTAGTGCATTTGTTATTTCAGTAAATTCTTGAAATATGAAATGAAAATGTCACTAACTACTAAAGAGTTCATAGCTTTGTTAGAACAAGACTTAGATTATGAAAATGCTGACTCACTTAATGTGGTTTATTTGCCGCTGAGATTAGATTAGAAAGTTTCTGATGTAGAAGACATTGATGATAATATTATGTGTGAAGAATCAATAAAAATCGGATATTGTAAGTACATATGAAATACAAGTGATTGGGAATTCTGACGATTCTGGTTATGATATTCCTCTGAAACCAAAAATAAAATGTCCAAAGAAAAAACAAGGCAAAAATAGTAAATCCAAATTTGTCTCAAGTTGTAACAACAGATACTCCTTCATGCTCAGTAGCAATTTAACATCAGTCTGATTGATATTTAGACAATATAAAAGCCAACCATGGAAGCAAGTCATAATTGAAGTTTTTTCACTCTTTTATGATAAAAAAGTAATTGGGAACATTTTATATTTTACAAATATTTATGCATCGCAGAATAACTCCACGATTTTGAAATGAATAACAGATTAAAAAAAATTATTAGCATATGTATAGTATCTGATCTAAATAGATTTATATTTATAATTTATAATAGTGAAGAAACCGCTACATCAGTATCAAACTTAGTACATGATCGTCAATCTAAATTTGCTTTACCAGATGAAACTAGATTCGACAATATTGGCCACATTACAAAAAGAGACGATAGTGCAAAAATGTAGGATGTGCAAAAGTAATACTATTAATAGGTAAAAGGTGTAGAATGCATCTAGATCCCGAATGTTTCGAAAATTTCACCTTAAACTTGAATTTACATTAAGATACAATATGTTCCTTTATTAAAAATTGTACTGTTTTCCTTGAAAATGAGAAAACAAATCTTTTTGGTTGTAAATTGGTCTTAATTTATGTGTTTTCAATCCAATCTAATAAATTAATTGTCAAATTTCTCTTTGTATATTGAGCGGCCTTTAAAGGGTTAATACCTATATAAATATTAAACTTGCCTCAAATTTACTTTACTTACCTCAAAACTATTTTAAAGTTAATAATAAAGTCTATTTAATAAATATATTCCGAAGAAATAGAATACACTACGCCTATGCACATATACAATGTGGAACGAATAAACTAAAATATATTTCTCTCATTTCCATTCTTTCTAAGAACGTAAATATATATAGACCAGCAAAATATTGATAAATTTACCGATCTTTCAAACTATTTAATGAACTTATCTCGCTATACACTAGTGAATCGCACCAATTTATATTGTTAGGGGGGCAAATTTTATGGGACTTTATCCTACTTTTTCACTGATTTACATACGCGAAGCATACACAATAAAAATGACCCGGGTAAGAATTTACTGCTGAAATTTTACGGGGTTGCCGCTACCGTTTAGTTCAATTTGTAGATTAATCACCTTTAATTAAAAATTGTCCGACTATACAATATGTAATAACAAGTTTAGAAACTATGCCGTTAATTCTTATCGGTACTAGTGAGTCACAAGATAAACTTACCACTCAAGGGAAGGGGAAACTTTTTGACCAAAAAAATTTGTACGGCATTTATAACTTGGATAGGTAATACAAAAATAATTACCTGCGACCTAATGTTGTACAAAAATATTGGTACCAGGAGCAGGGAAAAATTTTTATTTTCGGAAAACGTGTTCCCCATTTTCGGCAATTTGACTAGTATTGATTTAAAATGTACCTAGGGATTGTAGTCTATATATTTTTGACTCTTTCACCATTTTTCATTGAATAATGTGTTGAAACCTAAATGACCTGCCAATGGCCCTGTCGTCTTTTGCAAGGCGCAACCATGGCTTGGCGACAGCTTGTCGCGAAGGTAAGATAAGAAGTTCCGTTACGTCTTAACGGAAAGATCTCTTGCTGAAATTAACATTTAAGACATCGACCTAGCAACATGTATAATATATTTGTAACATTTATTTTTATTTCATTATTACCAACAATTAAGTTTCTTTGTATTTTTACATTTACGTTTGCATAGAAGTATTAAACAGTTTCATTTACGGTCTTAAGTTCTTTACTAAAACCATGGGAAGTCCTAATAATATTAACCAACAAGTAACTGGATGAATTCAAGATTCCGTTTTCTATTGAACAGTTACCACAACATACTGGTCCTTCTTGTCGAATGCTTGCTGCTTTGGAAATACGAAAAATCAAAGGTTAGTGCTTTTCCTTTTACCAATATTTTATTTTTTTTTACATTTTTACTTGAGATTTACATTTGATTTGTTTCAATTCGGTGGAAAACTACTTCTTAATCACTATTTCGTACAACACAAGAAACGTTACTTGATGGAAACGCGGTGGTGTGAAATTACAGGGTTTTATTCCTTATTTTACATTTAAAAATAACTAACTTGATTTATTTTTAAATAATTATTGCATTCTTACACTACATCACTCAACATATATATTTTTACATCCTATTTGAGTATATTTAGTATCTTTAAATAATTTACATACACTTTTGGATTCTATAACCAATACGGTTCGTCATTTGCGACTGGTAATCACACCTTATCGTCATTTCTACATCCTTTCTGGATAGATTTGACATATTTTCTTAATTTACAACTTTTGGGTACTCTTTACCAACCGATTCGGCCTTCCAGCGATTCTGGCACACTTTATAAATAAATAATGGTACATCTAAAATACTTCAGTCGTTAAGCATTTTTCGTGCTATTTCATTAGAGCAATTTTATTGTGTTATATATTTCTAAGCACAAAAATTTACATTTACTTAAGTACATTTTCATTTAAGTTAAAACTTGTACTTTACTTATTTTACATTTAATAAATTTATTTGTCACTATGACTGAAGTGCTGATAATGCTAATATTAAACGCATTTCAATTAAGGGCACTTTAACTCGTTTCTCGAATTATTTTAACTCTGTTAAAGAGTTACCTGCAACTAAAATTAACTTTAGGAATTTACAGTTACGCCTTGAGAAAGTTGAGAAGCTCTACGACGATATTGATAATGTTCAATGAATTATTGAGGCCGCTGACCCAAACTACACTACAAATGCATCTACTATTCATAACAGGAAACGAGCATCTTTTGCAAATCCATTATTTTCTATCACTGGCCTAGCTAGATAACTTCTTGCCAAACTTTTGACTCCTCCTGCTGGTCAGATATCCCAATCATCTACACCTTCCACAAGTAAAGTTAACATTTCTTAACAAAATATGTTTACCTTCCATTAATTTACCTTCGTTTAAAGGCGACTACGAAACCTGGTTATTTTTTCGAGACACTTTCAATTCTATCATCCACAGAAATTCCGAACTTTCGAACATACAAAAATTTTACTATTTGAGACTATCCTTAAAGGGCATTGCTGCAGACACAATACGCAATCTAGATATTTCTGATGCAACACGTGCCATAGCATGGTTACTTTTAAGGGAAAGGTTTGAAAATAAACCACTTCTGGTTAGTAACCACATCAAAAAGCACTTCAATTTACCCAACATTTCTAGAAACTCTCATAATGATTTGCGAGCCTTACTAGACGGTTTACTCTCTTGAATATTTACAAATAGACATTACAGGTTGGGATCCTCTTATTATCTACTTCGTCACTACAAAATTGGACAATACATCTCACCGCGAATGGGAACAATCATTGGAAGATAACGCTACAAATTTACCCACATTAAATGAGCTCACAGAATTCTTAAAGAAAAATGTAGAGTTCTGGAATCTGTTAATTATCACGTTGAAAAACTTCGCACCAAAGCAAAATCTTTTGTATTTACGAACAATAACAGCAACACTTTAAATTGTTCATTATGTTCACAAAATCATCTTATTTATTCTTATCCTAATTTTTGTAAATTACACCCAGCCTCTCGCTTAAATGAAGCAAAACGTTTAAAACTTTGCATCAATTGTTTACGTTCTGGACATCCTACTAAAAACTGCAAATCTTCTGGCTGTCGCAAATTTGGTAAACCTCATCATACGCTTTTGCCTTTTTATAATTCTAATCAGAACACTTCAAATTTGGATGCATCATCGTCTCAAACACCTTCCAATCAAACTACAAACTCCTTAACAACTCACAACCATTTTGCTAGTTCGTAGCAAATTTTACTGTCTACTGTTTTAATTAAGGTCTTTGACTTCAAAGGCAACATGCATGAAGCTCGTGTACTGTTGGACAGTGGTTCGGAAAATCATTTCATCACTCAACGGTTACCTGAATACTTTGAAATTACCCATAACTGCAATTGATTTTTATGTCTATGGTCTAAATCAAAAAAATTCTGTAGTTCAACTTAAAACTTCTCTTACCTTCAAATCAAATACAGTTAACTTTACACGTACAATTTCTTGTTTTGTGATGCCTGAAATAACTGGTAGACTGCCTTCTGTCACACTTCAGTTTCATCTTTTTAAAGTTTCATCTCCTATAGACATTTTAATCGGTGCAGACAGATTTTGGGATCTTTTATGCGTTGGTCAAATTAAGCTAACACACATGGTCAACCAACTTTACACAAAACCAAGCTTGGCTGGATTGTATCCGGTCCTATACCTTTTCTTTCTTGTAACAAAACAAATTGTCACTTTTCTAGAAACAGAAATCTCGAAAATTAGTTAAAGAAATTCTGGGAACTTGAAGAATTTCCAAAAACCAAGTTCTTTTCTGAAGAAGAACATGTGAGAAACACTTTATAGAAACTACTTCCTTTGATTCTACAGGCAGATTCATTGTCTCTCTTCCTTTAAAGTTACCTCTATCAAATCTTGTTAATTCAGAGATTTCAGCTACCAAACGTTTTTTCTCTTTGGAAAAGAAATTAAACTCTAACCCAACTTTAAAAGTAGATTATACTCAATTCATCAGTGAATACTCATAATTGAATCATATGACTAAACTTTCTTCAAATTTAGTATCTCATCCAGACTTCTTTCTTCCTCATCATTGCGTTTACAAAGGTAACAAGATCCGTGTCGTATTTGACGGATTTGCTAAATCTGACACTGGCTTTTCGTTGAACGATATACTCATGGTGTGTCCTTAACTACAAGACTATGTTTTCGAAAACACAAATTTGCTTTAACTGCTGATATCGTTAAAGTGTATCGACAAATTCTTATAAAAGAAAATCAGCGTTGTTTACAAAAAATATGATGGCGATCTGATTCAAATTCACCTATTGAGACATGCTTTAAATACTGTAATTTATGGCACTGCTTCTGTCAGGTTTTGTCACCGCATACCGGTGCTTCCACCTTAGACGAACTTAAACAAATTCAATCTGTAATCACTGAGTTACTGAATCCTCTTCTTGATCAAGATGATATAATTCGAGTTGATGGAAGAATTCACAACGCTGACATCTCCTACGAGAGAAAGCATCCCATCGTAATTCCACAAAAAACATCCTTTTACATACATACTTGTACGGCATGAACGCATAAAATTACAGCATGCTGGTCCACAGCTACTGTTATCTTCCTTACAAGAGAAATATTGGCCTCTTAATGGACGCTATGTTGTTAGATAGGTTGTTAGAAACTGCATCACATGTTCCAAGGCAGTTCCAAAACTCGAAACTTATTTAATGAGTAATCTACCTTCTTCACGGCGGACTCCTTCACGACCCTTTACCCACTTAGGACTTGATTATGCGGGACCCTTTCCTTTAAAGGACCGTCTTACGAGAAACTACAAGACTATTAAGGGTTATGTAGCACTTTTTATTTGTCAGGCCACAAAGGCTATATACTTGTAGGTTCTAACTACGGAATGCTTTATAGCAGCTTTAAGACGTTTTACTTCTCGACGAGGTAAATGCGCTTCTTTTTTCCGATAATGGGAGCATCTTTAAAGGTACCAACAATGAACTTTGCAACTTTCTCAAGACTAACAATTCTGCCTTACATGACACACTCTCTTCTGAGGGTATCGATTTTAAATTCAATCCGCGCCGCGTTCACCTCACTTTGGTGGTATATGAGAAGCGGGGGTAAAATCGGTAAAATACCATCTTAAACGAGTCATCAGCAATACGGTTCTCTCCTATGAGTAGTTTTCCACTGTTTTGATTCAAATTGAAGCAATTCTCAATTCCATACCTCTTTTTCCTATGTCTAATGACCCCTCAGGCCTACTTCCTCTCACACCTGCACATTTTCTGGTTGGATCACCTCTCACATCAGTTCCTGGCCGCAACCTATTAGATGTTATGGAAAACAGATTGAGCAGATTTCAAAGAGTGCAGAAAATGGTGCAATGTTATTGGACAACTCTTCTCTTCAGCAACGCGTCAAGTGCAAAAACAATGCAGTTCCCTTCTCAAGATTGGTTCTGGAAGAAGATGGACTGGAACCTCTTAGATGGGCCTAAGGTAGAGTGACTGACATCCATTCCGGCAGTGACGGGATTGTGCGTAGTGTAACGCTAAAAACAAACTCTGGTCCGGTTGTGAAGTTTTGTTTCATATGTTTATTTATTTTAGATGTTAAGAAAATCAACTTTAGTTTTTTTTGTGTTTGGATAAACTTTACAATTTCAGCTCAATATTGACTTGTGGACTTTATACATTTGAGTTTTTGAATCCCCTTATGGCGTTCAAAGGGGGTGGCTTATGTTAAAATCTTAATGACCTGACGACGCCCCTTTCGTTTTTTGCACGGCGTAAGCATGGCTTGGCGACAGCTTGTCGCTAAAGTAAGATAAGAAGTCTCAACGTCTGTTACGTCTTAACGGAAAGATCTCTGGCTGAAATTAACCCTCCTCCGGCAGAGACCTTCTGTTTCAAGACATCGAACTAGCAACATGTATTAATAATATATTTTTAACATTAATTTGTGTTTCGTTAGTACGAACAATTAAGTTTCTTTATATTTTTACATGTACGTTTACATAGAAGTAAATTAAACAGTTTCATTTATGGTCTTGAGTTCTTTACTAAAACCACGGGAAGTCCTAATCATATTAACCAACAAGTAACTAGAAGAATTCAAAATTCCGTTTTCCATAGAATAGTTACCACAACATAATCTGTTAATGCATAAATATCTCTGATTTCAGAAACATGATCTGATGAACCATGTAGCTCATCAGATCATCTGTATGCAGTATATCTTAGAACTTGCCAAACAACTTGATTGCGACCCGAGAGCTTGTGTGGATGCGTTCTTTTCTAAAATTCAAGTGGCGGAAGTAGAATACAAAGCATCTTTTGATGACGAACTCAGGCAATTCAAAGAAAGAATTCGAAAAAGGGCTGCTGAAAAATTGGAGGAAGCTTTGAAAGTAAGTAATTTTAGTAATAGTAAGTAAATGTAGTAATTAGCAATTTTTTATTTAGATAGTCACTTTATTATTTAGGTGAACTTTGGCCAGGTTGTCCCTGTCTTTAAAATTTAGAAACTGCAATGGTTATTTGAAAAGCCTTCTTAAACTATTTACCAAACAACATCGGTATAAGTTTAAAATTGGGTAATATCTTACTCTGAGTGACATAGTAGACACAATAGACTGAGACCAAGACTGAGATGTAGTGCATAAAAGTCCTTCCCCCTTTTTAAATTTAATGTTTGTTTCGTCCCTTCTAAGTGTTTTCTGTTTTAGTGTATTTAAATTGTCCTTAATGGTTTTAACATTACTCGATTTTGCAATAATCTACCATTTTGCCAATAGAACTTTATTAAAGAAATTTGATAATTACAAGTTGAAAGAATTGCACACCCACACAATTTGTACATCTAAGCTTATTCATTGTCATAAAACTGTCACCTTCTTCTTCTTCAAATTCCACTCCTATCGGAGATTGGAAATCATTCTGGCAATTATAATTTTATTGGTTTACTCGCCTGAATAGTTCAATTGAACTGCATCCAAACCATTCACGGAGATTGCGGAGCCACGAGATTTTACGCCTTCCTACGCTTCTTCTACCTTTGATTTTACCCTGCATTATATTCCTTAGTAGTTCGTACTTTTCACCTCTCATGATGTGCCCCAAGTATTCCAATTTCCTGATTTTTATGGAATTTAAAACTTCGCATGGTTTTCCTAGTTGTTCGAGAACTTGTTCGTTTGTTTTGCGATCCATCCATGATATTTTCAAAATACGTCGGTAACATCACATTTCGAATGCTTCTAGGTTTTTATGTTGGATTTTTTAAGTGTCCAAGCTTCAACTCCATACAAAAGGGTAGAGATAATATAACATCGAACCATTCTTATCCGGAGCGATATATTGATATCGCGATTACAAAAAAGTTTTCTCATTCTATTAAAAGTTGACCGCGCAATTTCAATGCGGCCTCTTATTTCTTTTGTCTGATCAGTATCTTCTGTGATCAATGCTCCAAGGTATTTGTACGAAGATATTTGTTCAATTTCTGTATTATCTAGTACTAGCTTAACTTTGATGTTTTGTGTTTTTGTAAATACCATGAACTTGGTTTTCTTCAAATTGATTTTTAGTCCATAATCGTTGCAATATATATTTAGTTGCTCAGCAAGGTGTTGCAGTTCTTCTAGTGTTCCTGCCAGAAGGACGGTGTCGTCAGCATATCTTATGTTATTAAGTGGCTCACCGTTTATTATAAGGACCCCATGGCGAATCTGGATATCCTTGGTCAGTTCGTTTGTCACCTTCATAAAACAAATACTCAATAAATAACACACATTTCATAAATATATCTCTTGAATAAGTATAAATAACTTTTAAATAATACAATGGTATATTACATTACTTTCATCTAACAAACAATCACATTACACCTATCTCTACTTCATTGGATCAAATCTATCTCCTCAAGAACTTCCCGTTTACTGTCAAACAACTACAATAGCAGACTTAAGTTCTCCATTCAACAATACATGATAGTTTCAACCATGTTCTACCATCCATCAATTAATAGAGTACCGGCATCATTTATTTGATGACAATGTGTTGACAATATTTATTGTATGACAATAATACCATACAACAAACAGACACTTACAAATATCTGGGACACGAAATCAAAATAAGCAGAGACAATCAAACACATGAAATACAGAGGCGAATAGGTCTAACATGGGCAGCATGTGGCAAATTAAGCCATATTCTAAAAAGTTCAATTCCCATGTGTCTCAAGCGAAAGGTTTATAACCAATGTGTTTTACCTGTACAAACTTATGGAGCAGAGACTTTAACACTCACGCAAAAATCTGGGAATAAACTTAGAGTTACACAACGAGCCATGGAACATGCAATGCTGAACGTGAGCCTTCGAGACCACATAACAAACCAACAAATCAGGCGAAGATCAGGAGTTCAAGACGTCATCGAAAGAACCACGACGCTTAAGTGGAACTGGGCAGGGCACTTAGCCAGAACACAAGATGGACGGTGGACAAGACGTATTATGGAATGGAGGCCCAGAAATTATAAAAGAAGCCGAGGACGACCACCGACTAGATGGACCGATGACATTAAACGTGTAGCGGGAAACTGGCTACAAGTGGCCCAGTGTAGAGAACACTGGAAAGAACTGAGGGAGGCCTATGTCCAGCAGTGGACGCGATTGGCTAATTGATGATTATGGTCATTTATTTAACTTTGTATCGAGACCTGAAGATGCTTTGCATATTGTAGAAAGCGAAACCGGTCGTCTGAATAGTTAAATTAAATTGATTGTGAGTAAGTCTTATTTATTATTTCTTTACCTATTTGAAATGGACTCACACAAGCAACACATTCATGATTTAAAAGTTAGTCTGTTTATTGACAACTGTACGGCCTACAACACTATTCCACTAATGGAAAATGTAAATGGAAAATTTTTTTCCTGCCAACATGACTTCAGTTCTCCAGCCTATGGACCAGGGCATCATAAAAAATCTTAAAAATTTTAACCGACGTTTTTTGGTTTAAAACATATTGACGGAAGATTGGCCGAAAATACCAATGAGAACACCTGTCATAATGACAATAATTGACACTGACTTGGTCGAATTTTGTTTGCCCATTTTTTTCGGTTGACAAAATTCGAGCAAGAATAGGAACGAAAACATCTGCAAAAGTGTGCAAAAGATTTTTATCGTTTGCAGAAGCTTTTGTTGGTATCACTGTTTTTTGTAGATATATTTTTAATACGAATATTTGGATAATTACAATTTTTGGATAATTACAATTTTTTTAACGGTCCCCTGAGATTCGAATTATCCAGGTTTCACTGTATTTGGAATTTCTAACTTCTCTTGTACCCAGCGATCGAATCAAATAATCGAAAAAAGTACTATACAATAGTGATTCTAATGTAACAACTAAAACAGATTATGATGTTTTTTTATTTTGGAAAAAATGTTAATTTGCGCATTAATGCGTTAAGGTAATGAATCAGTAGTGGTCACTGAATCAGTAGTTGCCACTCTTAGGAAAATAAGGTGAAATTACTAGTTGGCAACCATTATTACATTGAGATTTCATAATTTATGAAGACCTGGCAACATCTAGATGCCACTAGCCGAGTTTGAAGTTTCTCTGTTCAATATTTCCAATATGGCGTTTTAATGTTTGTTGGTATCTCATGTTTTAATGAATATTCTTATATTTTCTTAGTAAAACTGTTAAGAAAGGTACTTTTTAATTTTGGCTGTAATATAATTTCTATAGTAATTTATAATGCAGTTTCAAGTTGGAGCTTTTAATGAAGCATTTTACAAAAATGTTAACAGGTCTTTGAAATTTTTTAAGGTTATTTTTTTGCTAAAACTAGGGATGACATCTACTGATTATGACTATATGGAAAAAATCAGTTGTGGTCATTTGATGCCACGTACTGATTACGAACCAATTTTAACTAATCAGTAGTTGGCTCTCTGTCACTAATGCCTCTTTTTATAATACTTATCCTATTTTCTGAATTAATAGTTACTTATGAATGCGTGTCTCTACAGTGTTTTATATTGTGCCGCTAGAATATATCATTGTTTCAGGAAAGAAATAAATAAAATTATGCCTCAACGACGCAAATTATTTAATTACGAAGAATGGCAGATGAACAGGGCCTTAGAAGATATTTCTCGTCGGGTTCTAGTTGCTACTGCTGCAAGAAATCATAACGTTCCAAGAATGACACTGTCTAATAAGGCAAAAGGCAAGTCTCGAAAGATACGTCGAATGGGCCCAGAAACAATTTTATCTCAACAAGAGGAATCTATTTTGGTTACATGGATTCGGAAAATGAGCCATATCGGTTTCCCTATTACAAAAGATGATCTAGATAGTGTTCAATTGTTGATTCGAGATTTAAAAAGAAAAAAACCCGTTTAAAGATGATCAACCAACATTAGGGTGGCTACAACGTTTTAAAATCCGTCATCCAGAAATTTCAATTCCAACAGCGCATAACCTAACAATTACCAGAGCATCTGTATCTAAACAAGGAATTAAAAACTGGTTTGAAGAAGTTTCATTATTCTTGAAAGAAAGTGGTAATTTTGACATCTTACCAGATCCAAGCCGAGTCTATAATGAAGACGAGTCAGCTTTTTTCCTGAACCTTAAAGGTAATAAAGTACTAGCAAGCAGAGGGCAAAAAAAGTATATCAACGAGTGAATTTGGATGAAAAAGAATGCTTAATTGTATTGGTTACAGCAAGTGCAGCAGGAAAAGTAGCACCTCCAATGGTAGTCTTTAAGTATAACAGGGTACCGCGTGATATTGCGAATAGTGTTTTGCGAAAAGATTGAGAGCTGAACAAAGAGCAAAGGTGAAAGAAGAGAAAGAAAAAGCAAAACAGTTGAAACTGCAAGAAAAAGAAAATAAAAGGGTTTTAAAGAGGACCAAAAAGAAGCGTCAGAAAGAATGGTCTGACTCTGAAACTGAGGAAGGGTGGGTCGAATCTAGTAGTAGTATAGATGATATAGTAAGTGACTTTGAGGGGTACATGGAAAAAGAAACTATACTGGAAGAAAATGATGTTGAGAGTGACTTGAACCAGTGGATATATAAGAAGGGAGATTTCGTGTTAGTACAATGTCCTAGTAAGAAGAAGTTTCATAAATATGCGTGTATAGTACAGGACATTTATGAAAAAACTGAGTATGATGTGGTTGCAATGAACTGTTGCAATGACCTAAAAACATTGTTTAAATTGAATGAAAAAAATGTTAGTGTAATTAATTTAAATCAAATTATAAGTCGTCTTTCTACTCCTACTCTAAATACCTTAGGAGACAGAGTTCGGTATGAATTCAAAACTCCCATAGATGTAGATGGCTAAATGTGGCTGAAGTATGTTTGTGACCATCACTGATTTTTTTTGCATGACAACAACTGATATTTTATTTTATTGCATTGACAACTACTGATTTTTTGCATAACTATACCTAAGATTTTTTTTATGTTACTTATTTTTAAAACTTCAAGACAGAAAAAATTAATTGTAAATAATACACATCTCAAGCGTTTATTAAAATTTTACTTGGAATTATAACTTAAAAGTAGGCGCCAAAAATATATTTTTGTTTTATTTCCATCCTTAACACTGACCATTACTGATTCATTACCTAATAGGATTTCTGTAATTGAACCGTTTTCTTTTTTTTTTCATATTGTAATATTCTGCAGCCAATTGCTATTGTAATACCAATTAATATCCATAAAAAAATTTACAGGAAGCGGAAGAAGAAGAAAGACAAAAACGATTAGGGCCAGGCGGTTTAGATCCCTTGGAAGTTTTCGAATCCCTTCCAGACGAACTAAAAGCTTGCTTTGAAAGCCAAGATATACAATTACTTCAAGACACGATCGCTAAAATGGACGAAGAGCAAGCAAAATACCACATGAAACGATGTGTAGACTCGGGTCTTTGGGTACCGGATGCTGGTAAGAAAAATGATGAGAAAGATGATGAAGAAGGAGATACTTCTGGGGAAAAGGAAGTTGATGAACTTGCGTCTTAGATAGAAACTGTTTATAAATGTTAATCCCATTTTTATATTGTGAAATTAAAGTTTGTATATACTGCTGACCAATGATATCGGAATATACATTGTGTTTTTAATCAAATGGTAGAGTACAAATCTACAAGTTGTCTTAGTAGTACTGATATATTATGTTTCAAACGATTTTTGGAAACGCAAGTTATGATGAGGTTTCTCCCAGCAAGTTTTAAACATCCGGTTATCACAGGATTGTTTAAGTAAATGGACAGCCGAAGTGTGACGTCACGGCGGCCATTTGTTATTATTACTTTCCAAACAAAAGTTGAAATGCCCAATCTCAAGACTTTTTAATTTCTATAAACTTAACATTTTTCTTCTTCTGCTGATTTTTCTTTTAAGTATAGTGTTTTTTACCATAATACCATCATAATTCAGTGTTATATTTCTATGAAATATAGTTTTAAACGTTTAAATTAAAGAAATTCTAACCTTACTTTTTTTATACCTGCATTTGATTGCTATTTTTATAAAACAACATGCTTTATTATTTACATAACCTTGTAAAATTGGTGTAGTAACTATTAGAATACTTAGATATTGCAAAAAGCGGAAAGATTCTGTAAAAAAATGATAAAATAACGAAAATACAAATTATCCACAATAAACAAAGTTTGTTTGGAAAGTGAAACTGACAGATGTCAATAAAATCTACGTCATCACTCCGGCAGTCCATTATGGCAATAAAAGTCTCTCTGAATAGGGATCTATGATAGGAAAACTAAATAATAATTTGGTAAAATATAAAATAAAAAAATACGTTGTAAAAACATACACAATTTTTTGTGTACAGAAGTTTGTAATGAATTGAAACCTATGAGTCCCATGCGTATTTATTAATAAAATAAATAAAGTACTTTACGTTAATGAGCACGTTACTTTTTGAGGTGAGCTAAATAATAATATTCATTAAAAATTATCTTGGCTCGCATGCTTTTTATATTCATTTACTGCACTGATTGAAAAACCTTTATACAGCTATTATTTGATATTTACAAATTCAACACTGTTACAATAGTAACACTTCCTAGATACGCCACTGAATGATTGTTCAGTTTACAATTGTAGAGAGACGTCGGACGAATCAAAACGAAAGTGCGTCGGTTCGTTTACCTCATCATAATTGGTGTTTGCAGTATCATGTTTAAATTTAGATTTTTGGTTTGCCCAATGTTTTTGGTAATAGGGAACCTTCAAAATATACATTATTTCCTTTTTACATCCGTTGCACGTCATCAATGACATTTCTAGGTTGTGGCAGTACAACCAACTGCTTAAAAATTCGCTATCAATAATGTTGGAACTATTTTAACTCTCTTTTTTAATTAGGGTAATTTGGGTGATACAAAAATGAATTTCATGTCAATTTTTTAATATCTAAATTTATAGAAAAAATTTAGTACTCAAAAATCAATAATTGAATTTAAATAACACTGAAAAACTATTACAATTGGGCCCCGTTATACAACAAGGAACCAACTGACATTAACTTAGTTTTGAGAAAATCAAGAAAACAATTTTATTTATTTGAGGAAATTATTTGGACATAAAAATAATAAAAAACGACTCAAAAGTAAACACGTTTATTATAACTTATGGATATTAATGATATAATCAAATTAACAACTAAAAATTAACTCCTAAGTAAAAACAATTCACGGGGTTCTTTGTTGTTAAATATAACATTAACAATCCGCATCTGATTCGAAATCTGGATTTCCGTTAAATCTGTCTATATCCTTGATTATATTATTATCTGTTATAAGATTTGTATAGAAGTCGTGGTAAGAAGGGTATTAAATGAAGATAACTTTATATATCTTTAAGTTTTGCTTTGCTCCAAATACGTGGCAAACTGTGACCCAGTTGAAGATTCTCTTCCTGTTTCCTTTTTATGCTTGCTTTTGTATAATCGTCAGTGTCTTGATAAGTCGTTTTAAAAAATATGTCATAAGGCTTATCTTTACACAATTTTAATTTCTTTGGTTTGTAACCAACTTATTGTCTCGTTGGTTTTACTTTTTTTTTCTGTTGGTGATTTTGTTTTTCTTATCACACAATATGGCAACTGTGAGCGAAAATGAAAACGTCGAAATTGGATGCGTGCAACAGATTATTAAGGAAATACCTAATACAGTAGATCCGCTGGATCTTTGCACATTTTCATCATTGTTATTATAGCCCAGTCTGGTTATGCAATAATCATCGTTTCACGGCAAAAGTTTTCGCAGATATCTGAAGTTTTTAAAACATAGGTGGTGGTTACTAGATGACGAATAGATGAAAAAGTACTCGTATTTTTACATTGCGTTTTTAAAAAAATAATTTATAGTCATAATTTGATTTTTTGTCTATAAGTTTTTTCCCTTAATATTTTACATAAACAATATTTATATAATTTTTTCTTTATTTTCCCGTTATAAATTAAAATTTATAATATACGGAGCTATTTGCTAAAAAGTAGTTTTTTGCACTAGTTTATAAATATTATTAATTTTTTTATTAACAAAATAAAATGTTATTAATACATTTGAACATCGAGGAATTACCGGCTTAATATTTAAACTATTAAACTTGCTCTATTAATGATGCTAGACACATTTAGCAAATTTCATAAGATTCTTCAAGACTTAAACTATCTCAGAAGTGAAATGCATATTGCTTTTTCATCGAAAGTATTTACAAAATAAACGTTTGAACCACGCGGTATGTTTTTTTACTTATAAACAATTGTAATTACTTCTATATTGTTTAAGCTACAGACTTGTACGGACAACCATTGGATAGATGTAAAAAAACTCATTTAAAAAAACTATGTTTTAACCTATTGTTTATAAACGTTAAGAAGTAAAATTTGCACAAATTTTGAATGAAAATCTAAGCTTTGTATTTAAACCTATAGCTATAAAATTCATCAAATTTTTCGAAACTTACATCACTTCGAAACGAAAGTACTTTCGAAAGTTCGACATCGGAAAGTGGAGGTGATAACTATTTCAGCGCCGTTTTTTTGTTTTTTTTTTGAGATCGGAACTTCAAATTGAAACACGTAGGAAAAATTTACATTATCTCGGCTTCCATTGCAACTAGAATCCTCTTTTTTTTAATCTGGGGTAGCTCGTCGAAATATGAATAGCTACATAATTTTCACTGGCCGGGAAATATGGGAAAACTCGGAAAAATTGAGTTCATTGAAATATTCACCGAAAAAACTTACTTCTTTTTTAATTTGGCTGGAATACTCTATCGCAGTATTAATACTGATGACATAATTTCACCCTTTTTCATTTTATATTAATGATGTAATAATACTTATATATTTTATAAATTAAATTTGAGGTGTAATTTTTTACACATTATATTATTATATTCCTTATATTAATTATAATTATTTATTACTTTGACGATCTATAATATGTGTATAGGTATATGTACAGTACGAGGAAGGTAAACACAGTTATTTATGTTTTTAGATATCTTAGTATGCGGAAAAAGGCGGGATGGGTAGCAGCTGCCACGCTCCAAAATTTCGTCAAAACAGTCCCTAACTTCGTTCCTATTGATTATTGGTTTTTTTAAATGTAAGTTTTTTTACCAGCTATCCAATGGTTGTAGTACCAGTTTGTAGCTTGAAAAATATAGAAGTTATTACAATTGTTTATAAATAAAAAACACCCCTTTTTCAACCGTTTATTTTGTAAATAATTTCGATGAAAACGCAATATGCATTTAATCTCTGAGATAGTTTAACTATTAAAGAATGCTAAGAAATTTGCTAAATGTGTCTAGCATCATTAATAGAGCAAGTTCAATAGTTTAAATATTTAGCATCAGAGATAAATAAATTAAATAACTTTTAAACTATTTGACCGATGGGGGGGGGGATCGGTAATTCTTCGATGTTCAAATGTATTAATAACATTTTATTTTGTTAATAAAAAAATTAATAAAATTTATAAATTAGTGCAAAAAAACTGCTTTTTTGCAAATGTCTCCGTAAATTACGACAAACAATCAAATTGTGACCATAAATTATTGTTTAAAAAAAAGGTAAAAATACGAGTACGTTTTCATCTATTCGTCATCTAGTAACCCCCACCTATGTCTAATACTTAGGCCACCTGATGAGAGGACAAAAGTACACATTCCTACAAAATATAATGAAAGGAAAAATCCAAGGACGCAGAAATCCAGGTCGTAGAAGAATGTCCTGGATGAGAAATTTAAGAGAGTGAGTGGTTTGGATGAACCACTAACGAATTATTCAAAACAACACTAAATAAAATTAGAATCACCATAATGATATCCAATGTCCGATAGGAGAGGCACTCAAAGAAGAAGATGTCTTAAAAGCTTCAGATATCTGCGAAAAAATTTTCGACCTTTTTTATCCAGTTTGGGACCATACTAAAAAATATCCAGAATAACATTTTTTAGTATTGGTAATATTTATCCTTGTTAATTGGAAATCACGCGCAACACTTTCTTAGTAGTAAAATGATTTACTAAAAAGTAGTAGAATATTATGAAGATTTAAAAGGTTCCTTTCCACCACTGCAATTTTCAGGAGTTATGTTTAACTCTTTTTTGATTCATATAAATGTTAAAACACTTTACGGTTAAAAAAGTATATACCTATCTCTTTTATAGGCAACACATTTAGGATATTGAAGAAAATTGTTGTGTACACGCTTTGTTTTCTATGTAGGATGTTACTTTTTTTATATCAAACTTAAATTTATTTAAACCAAATTATTTTAATTAAAGATTGTTATTTAAAGGACCTAAATTTTGTTTTATGTTTTAAAAGAGTTGTTCGTGGAGCTGATCACGATCAGTTAAGATTCTTTTAGCACACAAAACAAAACACCTTTAATTTATTCATGTTCATTTGGAGAAACCTCTATAATGAGAGAAATTCTTTATTTATATGATTAATTTTTCTATTCTTTGTATTTGTAATTCTTTAGTTAATGATTGTGAATTAATATAGAAATAATAATTTTTTTCTTTTCCTTGCAGAGTATTCTTTAATTACCTTCACATATGGCTGTTTTTTTTTGCTGCAACTTTAGATTTTATCAGATGTGCCAAATTCGTACTACAAATATTAATTAATATATATTTGCAAGTCTAGCCGCTCTTCGCATTTGTATGATACGCCTATGTACTTATACAGTAAAATCTTTTTTTTTTTTTTTCGTCTTTATAGAGGTGTTGGTCTGGAATCTTCTCCAGTCTCCAGGACAGCGCCTGACTGACCTTAGTACAGGATTTGTTCTTCGTACTCCCGGCGATAGGTCCCAAAGTACTTTATAATGCCCTATGAGACTCCTATAGGCCGTGATCTCTACCGCCTCGCTCCAGACTAGTGCCGCGTAGAGGACGATGGACTGTACAACATCGTTAAGACCCTCCTCCTTTCGGATTTGGGTCTCCCAATGTTGGGCATCACCCTCCCTAACGCATCCACATTATTCGCAGCCTTCCGGACCACCTCCCGCACGTGGCCCCCCCATTTTC